CTCTGTGCCTGGCCGCAGCTGTCACCTGTTTTTGCTTCCATTGCATCCAAGTGGTTCAGATCTCCGTGAAGCCATGGCCCCTGAGTGCTCGCCAGGAACCTGCCTTTGGAAAGGAGAGTACTACATCTGGGCCAGGGACCTGTCCTCAGTTGACACTGGTAAAGCCCTGTTCTTCGGGCCACGCCCCAGGCTTTCCCCTACTGCAGCCAGGGTACGAGTGACTCTCCCCACCCTCTGGCTGGAAGGTCTAGAAGGTTCCAGCTTGAGACACACTTTTCTATTATTCTACTCCCCACCCCACCTGCCCCACCAGAGCCCAGGACATCTTCAGCCTGAGGCTGGGAGAGAATTCCTGTCCTAAAAGCTCTGCCTTGACTTCGGTTTTCATCGACATCAGGGGGCTATTGCCCTGTGTCAGGTGTTGTTTGAGGAAGGGAAAAACCACAGAAAAGGGGGAATTGTGGAGGAAAATCTTCAATCAACAGTGTAATTAATTAAATGGTAATAAATAATAATTTAAGAAATGAGATACTTTGTGGTCGATTTTTATGACTTTTAAAACGATATAAGTGGTGGCAAAAACCTCCAGCATCCAGAACCGCAAGTCACATTTTGGTTGTGGTTTTTCATTCCCTACAAAATGCAAAATACTTGGAAAAGATCATTTCAACTGTATTTTCCCCACAGAGGTTGAAATCGTCCTCCTTTAAATGATCCCTAGACAATTTATATGTCTTTCTATGTTGGAATTGACATTTCTCCTAGAAGACTTACTTTAGTGATATGAATGTTAATTTATAAAAAAAAAAAAAAAACCTTATTGTTAGCAGAACAATTTCATGGACTTTATCTCATTTTATCCCACTGGTGGCTGGTATGCTCTCTGACTTATGTTCTCAGAAGGTAAAAGGCTTGTCCAAAGTCTCTTGTCCAGAACATTCCAGGATCTACCAGATCAGGGTTCAGCAAATGGCAGCCATGGACCAAATCCTACCCACTGTGTATTTTTTTTCTTAATAGCACATGAGCTAAAAATGAGTTTTACAGGGTTTTTTTTTAAAATTTTATTTATTTATTTGAGAGAGAGTAAGAGTGAGAGCAAGAGAGAGAGAGAGAGAGAGAAGGAGAAACAAACTCCTCACTGAGAGCCCGATGCAGGGCTCCATCCCAGGACCCTGAGATCATGACCTGAGCCCAAGGCAGACGCTTAACTGACTGAATCACCCAGGCACCCCGAATTTTACAGTTTTAAATGATTGGGGAGGGGGAAGAAAGATATAGTAACACAGGAAAATTACACAAAATTCAAATTTCAACATCCAGCAATGAGGTTTTCTTGGAACTCAACCACATTTACATATTATCTATGGATGCATTTTTTGCTACAAGGGCAGAGCTGAGTAGTTGGGACAAAGACCATATGGCCTGCAAGCCTGAACTATTTACTCCCTGGTCCTTTACAGAAAAAGTTTGCAAACCCCTGTCCTAGATCAAGGGCTTATTCCGTCACACAAGAGCTGTCTCTCCAGAATTCTAGCAGACCCGTGGACAAAGGCAAAACCCACAGGGATCTGGTTTGTAAACCCAGTAGAAGAGGTTTAAAAATTGGTCTGTGACAAAAGGCTGGTCCTTTAAATCTTGAGTGTCTCAGTCCTTCTGATTGGTGAATTGGAGACCTGGGTCCCAGCGTCCAGCCTGGTAGGCAGCTCCCTTCTCCAGGAGGGGCAACGCAGGTGTGTCCTCACAAGAGCTTTGCCAAAATCAAAGGGTGCTATTTTCCCCTTGCCCTCCTCCAACTCCTCCACTCTGGGGAAAAAAACAGTCCAACTGCTGGGTTGCCCCTACAGTTAAGAGTGGCGAACCATCCCAGCTTAGAGGCCGAGGAGGCCAGGAGGAATGGAACAATGAAACGTTCTAGCATTTGTTTCGTTTTTAATGCAGTTATATAATCTGATGTCCTCCTCTTCCTGAACCCTATCTCCACCTCTGGCATTCTGTCTGCTGCAGGTGGAGCGAGGTGTTTAGACTGAGCAGGGAAGGGCAGGTGGGTTGGAGAAACCAGGCACAGAAGCCTTGCTCTTCTTTCTGAGGAGCTTCTGACTCATTTTGACTCCCTACTTTTTCTACTTCACCCACAAAATATAATATAATATATATGACACATATATAATATGATATATATAAAATATAATATAATATAATATAATTAATATAATATAATATTAGCTCCCTTTTCCTGAGTGCCTATCATATGTCATTCAATCTAGGCTGAAATAGATGATCTCGTGTAATTGTTCTCGTAACCCCGTGGAGTGTACAGAGGAGGGAACTGAAAACCGGCTTGTTGAAAATCCTTTCCTGGTGGCGAAATGGTACCCAATCTCTGTAATGTCAACATCCAGGCTTTTCCCACCAAACTTCAAGAGCTCCGCAAAGTCAAGTGCGTCTTCTGCCACAGGCACGTTTTCACTCTCTGATCCATGACACTCATGACATCCCACTATAGAGAAGCAATCTCCCAAAGGCTTTTCCTCAGAGCACCAAATCCTGCGGCCTTACGTGGAATCTAAAAAAAAAAAAAGTCTGTTTGGGGAACAATGGGTTGCAAAAAGCTTACTGAGATTTCTTTACCTCGGGACTTCTCAGAGAGCTTGCTTCTCAGGCATTTGCTGCCTTTCTCCTCTACGGCTTCATGGCAGATTTTGAACTTCTCAGAGCCTCAATTTTCTCCTCCAAAAAACAGGAATAGTAATATCTGCCCCTTGAAATATTATTAATACTATTTCTTTTCTCTTTCTGTTTTCGGCCAGTTCTCTTAATTTCTATTAAGTGAAATTAATTCTAGCAACCAGAGGGAATCTGAATAACTTGAAGAAAAAAATACCATTCCTAATGAAATAAGTTTACGCACATCCGCTAAGGGTGGAGTGCAGCACACACTTTTTGTTTATTGCATTGGTTTTCATAAAGGAAACAATGCATCTAGGGTAGGGTAAACTCATGAACAACCATGCTGGGGGCAAAATTGCATAGGAACATGCTGTCGCTAGCAGAGAAAGCCACATGTGTGAGTACCTAAAGGGGAAAGTGCCCTCCTTGTACCAGAAACACAGGGGAGATTTGGGAGCTGCTAAGCTTTTAAAGCATTCTTTTTGAATCACACCGTGAGGATGACTGTTTTTCCATGCCCCTAGGTCAGGAGTCAGCAAACCTTTTCTTTAAAGAAACAGATAGTGAATATTTTAGACTTTACAGGTCGCACAGACTGTTCCAACTACTCAACTCTGCTGCGGTAGCACCAAAGCAGCCATATGTAAACAAGTGGACATGACTGTGGGCCAATAAAACTTTATTTACCAAAACAGGTGGCGGGCTGTATCTGCGCTGAGGGCTGTAATTCACCAGCCCCTCGTCTAGATGTTGGTAGACACGCTTCTCAGCCTGACATTGGCTCAGTTTTCAAAGTTTTTTGTTCGTTCTTGTTGCAGAACACTTAACATCTTCTAGAACTAGTATTCTAAAGAACATGAATTTGGGAAAACGTCAGAGTTTTGAGCATCGGAGTCATTTCCTTAGAACAGTGAACACAGAAGTAATAAAGATGGAGGGGAACTGGGACTAGGCAAAGGGGTCATGTCTCCGGGGGCTATTTACTGGCCACGCAAGTTCAAGTCCTCAGACACCTAAAAGGCGTCCAGGACCCGGGTCCAGACAGACGGCCTGTTCAGCTGCTCACAACAGAGAAAGCTTACAGAGTGGTGCAACAGTACAGCTTTCTCAAAAAGATTTGTTTTTTGTTTTATTGAGTTAGTCAGGGAATGTCTGCAAGTAACCAAACACACCTGAAGACCCTTCAAGAGAGAGAAGGATAGCAATCAAAAGCGTGGCTTCTGGAGCCATTCTGCCTGGATTTAGGTCATCATTCCATACCTGGTCTGGGCAAATTAGCTAAAATATCTATGCCTCAGTCTTCCCAGCTATAAAATGGGAATATCTAAGCCAAAGGCGAGAATTCAATGAATTATGTTTAAAGGGCTGGCATGGGGTAAACACCATGTAAGTATTGCTGCTAGCATCAATTGCCTGTTGTTATGATTTATGTTATTCTTATGTTATTAATATTTCAGGGCTTATTGATTCACCCAGCTTCATAAGAGCCAAGAGGTCATTATAAAACTTTACTCTCCCTATTTTTTAAACTCTTTCTTTCTGTTTGTTCACTCTTGTTTCTGTGGAGACCTGTTTCATTTTATTACGCACATGGAGCCTCATGGCTGCCTTCAAATGGAAGCCCAACCCCCAGCCCACATCCTCTGCTAGGTCAGCACCCACAGACGGTAGACCCAGTCTCTGTGCTCAGTTGTGTCGGGGGCCTGCCACCCAACCTCAGCATCCCTGTAAGAAATGGCACCTTCTGGTCCGTAAGGCCACCCCTTTCATGTCTCTGGGCAGTCCCTGGTCTCCACAGAGAGAATGTGCTCAGCAGGTAGAAATAATGGGCATGTTTGGTGCTGTGTCCTGAGGCTGGGTTCATCCCAGGCACACTGGACACCAGGTCAAGACAGCAGACAGTGGCTAGACTCTGAGTCATCAGTGAAGAGGGAACTTTCCATTCTACCTGACTATCCGGGCTTCCATTGACTCAGGACCAGAGCAAGATTCAGCACACGGGTAATAGGATTTTATAGCAGACCTATGGGTGGGCCAGGGTGGGTGGTAACTGACATCAGGTACAGAAATAACTATAAAACATGGAAGGATTTGCTTATTTCCATCCATTTGCTCACTTGTTCAACAAATATTTATTGACTTCTAATTGCCATGCTAGGGAATATGCAATTTTTTATTAATAAAACAAATACACTTTTTTTAAAGAGATGAGGAATATTTTTGTAATCTTGGAAGTAATGCTCTCAACCAGTTGTTTTTGTAAATAATCCATTATTCTGGAAGCTCCCTGATGATAAAAACAAATCTTAGTGTATGTCTTATTCACATGCTTTTTTTTTTCTGGGGTCACTCTTCGCATTTTATTGGCTCAGGGGAGGGGCCTCCTCCATGTCACCGGGGGTGCTCACAAGTTCTTCAGCCACTCCAAGCTTGGGCCCTGGGGGTCCTGGGGGTGGCTGGGCACGTCGGGCATGTTCCCATCATCTCGGAGGGGCACTGGATAGTTGTAGGGCGTGGCCTGGTTGATCATGGTGGCGTATTTGGTGAAGGGGCTGAGGGTGGGCAGAATTAGAGCGAGGCCCCCGATGGTGAAGGACGCAACCAGCACCGGCTCCTTGGCCCAGGCATCCTTGAGGAAGGTGGCGAGTCTCCCGGCCATCTTGGTCGCAGCAGAGGCGGTGGCTGCAGCCTTATTCACATGCTTTTAAAGTTCCTATTATTCAACCGATTCACTATGATCCTTATACAAACCAATCCCTGGAAATTGGAAGTGATAAAATGAAATATTTCATACATACATTAAGAAAAAATATATATATACTACCTAAGAGATATGAAGAGATAGGAAATAATAAAATGAAAAGCCATATATTCACTACTAAGCTTACGAAATAGAATTATACCAGTTTCTCTGAAGCCCCCTGTGTACCCTTCCCAGGTTGGGATCTCCAACCCTCCCTCAGAAGTAGACCATTCTGAATTTGGTGTGAATGAATCATTCTCTTACCTTTCTTCATAGGTTTTATTATATGGGATTCTATCCCTAAACAAAATATCATTAGTTTTGTCTATTCTGGAATTTCAAATAAATGGAATCATATTGTATCTGTTCTTATAGATAGCTAGATATTCATTCATTCATTCATTCATTCATTCATTCATTTCCCAGCAACCATTTTTATATTTTGTTATTAAAAACAATAAATTGTGAACCTCTTTGTCACATTTCCTCAGGCAGATGTGCAGCACCTGAGGGCAAAAGCACTGTGTCCTCAGACATGTGCATTGTGTGTATCTATCAGGTAATGACACCTTATTTTTCACTGGATATTTGGGTTATTTCTAGATTTTTGCTGTGAAAAATATTGAATTTACTTAGGTATTCTCTGATATACCTTTCAGCATAGTTTTATAATTTTCCTCTTAAGTTTTGCACATCTTTTGTTAAAATCTCTCCTAGGTACCTGACAATGTTTTGTTGACGTCATATGTGGTGACATTTTTAAAAAGTATGGAACAAACGGCTTAAGAGCTTCACTGTAATCTATATTCTTACTGTGTTGCATTGCTCTTCAAAGATATGGAGGTGGATGGGGTCAGACTTCTAGACAGTTCTGTTTTTCACATCCTTGGGTTCACTTCTTATGACTTCTTTTTTTTTTAAGATTTTATTTATTTATTTGACAGAGAGAGAGAACACAAGAGAGGGAACACAAGTAGGGGGAGTGGGTAAGAGAGAAGCAGGCCTTCTCCTGAGCAGTGAGCCTGATGCGGGGCTTGATCCCAGGACCCTGGGATCGTGACCTAAACCAAAGGCAGATGCTTAATGACTGAGCCACCCAGGCACCCCTCTTATGGTCTTTTGTCTTCTTTATTGTTGTTATGTTGGAAGGCAGGGATTCATTATGATCCCTAGCTTAATGAATACCTGAATAACCATATGATGTTTATTATGATTATAGGAAAAGTAACCATAAATATATTCTGTGACCTTTATTTAAACTGCTCATCTTATTATTTCAAATTCCTTCAAGGTTCTCAAATAGTTGAGCTTGCAAAGAGAATGATATCTGGATCAGTAAGCTATTATTTTACTAGTCAATAGTTATTTGTACCTATTTTAAATAATTATATTCTTATAGACAAATTATTATAATTAATTGAAAAAAGGTACAGGCTTTGAAGTCATTACTCAGAAAGCATTGTCCAATGGTTGCAGCTTAATAAAATTGTAGGTAAAATTCTTATGCGAAAATGAATAATCTTAGAAGTATTACTCTTGCAAACCTAACTCAACAGAACAATGGTTACCTTTATGTACTTGATGGCAGTAAGGCTGGTGTGTGGACATGGCATCAGAATTCTGGGACCATTTGGCTAATTTCTGTTTATAAAATTCTAAATTTCTAATAAGCTATGTCAAAAATTTAGCTGATGTGGCTAAAATTTGAGTTTAATTGAGGTATATTATTTGGCTATTTAAGGAAGAGCCATCCATCGTCAAGATAACTAATGTATGATGTGTAAGGGAATAAGACAGGTGGTTCCAGAAGCTAAGATGGACTAACCAATAAGAATGGGCAATGTTGCCAAATTATGAGACCATTTAGATAGGACAGTGATACCGTTTGCTTTTTCATTTTCAGAATGACCAAGTGACACTCTGGTAGGATTACTTGTCCTTCTCTCCTTCTGGAAATTGTAATTCCTCCCTCCCTTGAAATTAGGCATGGTCACATGGAAGTGTGAGTAGAAGTGGCGATGTCACTTCCAGCTAAAGCCCTTCATCGTGTCTCTCTTTGCCTGACTTGGGGGACATGGGGGCGCAACACCAAGCCTCACATGGAAAACGGCTGCTGGGATTGTCTGTCACACCCGCAATGGACCCTTGTGAGCAAGAGATACACTTGTGTTGGTAAAGAGTTTAGGTTGTTTGCACTTCAGCAAAGCGCTTGTGTGTGCACAGGTACCAACACTGACCATTGGAGGAATTCGAGAGCTAGCAGTCAGGACTGTGGATACCGGTTTCAGAGATCTTAACTCTCTTTTTACCAACATGAATCCCACGAAATGTGAGGGAAATGGGACTTGCTATCCATTCAAGAAAAATTCACACTCACACTTTTGTGATAAGAGTGAGGAAAGGGAAGTTATTTAAACAAAAGGATTCCATTTTTGAAAACCATAATTTGGTTATCTTTCAAGGATTAAAAAATGTGCACGTATGCACGTATATGACATATGTATATGCATTTGATATGAGCGCATGTGCAAGTTTTTGTCTGCTATCCTGACTTCTCTAAGGTCTGTTGGCTCCTGAAAATAAATGCTTCTTGAAACAGAGCTCGGTTCTGAGCCCATCCTCATATGTTACAAGCACCAGTGGGACAGAATTTATCAACAAAAAAGCAAAATGTAACATTAACTTATGGCTTCCCTTTGAAGCCGGTAAATCGCCTTCCTCCTTTTCCTACCTCATGTCTCTTGCCTTGTGAAAGCTGTTGCTTCACGTGGGATCATCCAACATCAAGGGGACTTTTACTCTTGGCATTGCTCACTCTCATACCCTTTTCTGATGCTCCACCTCAAAGGCCCTCTGTCCTTGCCTTTCTAGAATCTGTAGTTTACACACTAATACCTGCCTTTTCCCAGATGTAACACAAGTGGTTTTGTCTGCACCCCGCTAATATTAACAAACAAAACCTTTCAAAACTCATAGGATCACAAGCAAATCCCTTTCTGATCTGACAAAAAGGGGAAATTCTTTCTTTTTCTTTCTTTTTCTCCCTATCTTCTTTACCCCCACCCATTCCCCTCTCCTCCTCTGCATCCATTCCTCACCCTTTATCCCTGCAGAGAGGTCCCCAACCTCGCTCTCTAGTACATTCCTTGTCTAGAGCCATGATACAGGCAGTCACAGAAACACTGGCTATGACAAGCAAACAAAAAGGAGTGGAAATTCAGGGAATCCCATTTTCTAGGATGACGAGCAAGCACAGGGATGGTGCATGAGGTTCCCACTGCCTCACACGCAGTATAGGGGAGCCCTCTTGGCGGCCTGCGTCAGGACTCTGGTGCCACAAGGGAGACCAAACTAGAAAGGGGGCAAGCAGGACTCAGGATGTATTTTTCACTCAAAGAACTTTCATGAAGCAATAGAGAGAATAGGCAAAGTCACTTGCCACAGTAAATACAGTTTTGATATTTCCTTTAGATGAGGTGAGTCCCAAAAGTAAGGGTCCCATGATGACATAGGATTGTTTCTTTCTAATTTCATGTTTCTAAGTACCTAACAGTTTTTTTAGAAATTTAAATTTTGAATCCAATACATCCTGAATGATTTCTCTGATATTATAACTACCATTATTAACTACAATGTCATAACAGTAATATTGTCTAAGGTTTATGAGGGCTTTTATGTGCTAATAACTACATTAAACATTTACATTGTCATAGAATTTCAACGAATGAGGTGCTATGATCTCCATTTTACCAATGAGGCATTATCTTTAGAGGTAATATGGTGGCCCAAGTTTAACATTGGTGAGTGGCAGACTGGAGACTCAGTCCTAGCCTGTCCCATCGCAGACCCCAGGGCTAAGTCCTCCAGTGTATGTGCATCTGCTCTAACTCTGAGACTTTACGTGCCTCTTGGAAAAGCTTAATATACTTGATTTGGGTCACCTTGAATTTTTTTTCTGGGCACCAAAACACAACAGCAGAACTCAGGACCTCTGGACTTTATTCTTGTACTTCCCGTCTGGCCCTGTGATGACAAAATGGTGGGCATGACCACCAGATGACCAAGGAGAGAGAAGGCCCAGGCTCGGAGGTGTGTGGCCTTGCGCCATTGCAAACCCGGTTTCCTCACCCATTATTTGAAGAGTTTGTGGTCCTTACAGGTCCCTCTAGAGTCTCTTCCAGATGTGAAATTTGGCGGCTCTCCACGCTCAGTGCCTAACTTTTATGTGGTCTCGCATCTGAATTCAGAGGGACTCTGCTTCCCCGTGGGCATTTTTCCTTGGTTCAGGGAACATCAACAACATTCACAGCATTTGCGGGCAGTTCCGGCGAGAAGGCTGGAGTTCATTACTTTCAGTAGCCAAAAAACTTTTATACTTCCATAGCTTTGGTGCCAGTTGAAGTCAGTCCATCCCTGGACCCTCTCATCCTCCTTTTTACCCTAGCTTCAGGCCTCCTGGAACTAGGAAATTAAGACCTTTGCCTTTGACGTTTGGGTTGGGAAAAAGTGAAAACTGATCTAATAATAATTAGTTATGGTTTAATATGCGAGATGGGAACGTTCTCATTTTTCATCCTGGAGCCTGGTGAGAAAGAGCCAAGGGGAAAGGGAGATTGATGGGAAAGCATAAACCCCTGAAATGTTCTCACACCGTGTGAAGTAAGTGATCCTTGGGCGCCTTCTTATATCATGTTAAGAGCCCATGGCAGCCCTGAAAGAAATGGAGAAACCCAGTGAAGGTGGTGGATAAAAGAGTTTTCTTTGATTGTTCTCTGAGGCCAGGCACCTTGGCACATGAATCGCTGCCTATTCACTGCATAAAGACCGCAGTCTCCTGCCGGCTTGAGACTCCAGGCTCCAAGAAAGAGGGTTTGGGTTCAGATAACTGGCTCTGAGTAAATAGCAGCTTGTTTTTGTAACACTAGAGA